ATATTGATAATTTGAAAGATTGGTAGATAGAGAGAAGATATTGTTTTTCATTTCTTATACTTCAAAATTATAAATACATAAGAGTAATTAGACTTAGATACGAAATACGAATACCTACTCCAGAGACTGCTTAGCACTGGAAGCCCTCTACTGCTGAAGTGAGATGTTAGCTGTGGACTTTGGGCTGGTTTTGTCAGTTATGATAAGACCTTACCTCCTTACTTGATGGAGTGACCTGAATGGGTAGTTCTGTGACTACTACTGCAGCTCCTTGACAAGTAGAACTAAGTGAGCCGAGCTTGGGCTTGTTTTGTTAGTTGTGATGAGATCTTACCTCCGGTCTTGATGGAGTAATCTGCAGGTTTACTTTAGTGACCACTACGGGAACTCCTGGACCAGTAGAACTAGGTGTGCCGAGTTTGGGCTTGGTTTGTTAGTTATGATGAAATCTTAGCTTCGGAATTAATAGAGTGATCTGGTGGTGTTCTTCGGTAACTAATACTGGAACACCTGGACTAGTAGAACTAAGTGTGCCTAGCTTGGGCTCGTTCTGTTAGTTATGATGAGACCTTACCTCCAGTCTTGATGGTGAGATCTGAAAGTATACTTTAGTGACTACTACGAGAACTCCTGGACGAGTAAGAATTAAGTGTGCCGAGTTAGGGTTCGTTTTGTTAGTCATGATGAGATCTTAACTCTGGTCTTGATGGAGTGACCTGAAGATGTAATTCGGTGATTACTACTGGAACTTCTCGCCGAGTAGAACTAGGTGTGCTGAGCTTGGGCTCGTTTTGTTAGTTATGATGAGAACATATCTCCCGTTTTGATTTGAGTGATCTAAAGGTGTTCTTTAGTGACTACTAAGGTAACTCCTGGACGAGTAAGAACTAGGTGTGCTGAGTTTGGGCTCGTTTTTAGTTAAGATGAAACCTTAGCTCCAGACTTCCATCAAGTTCTACTCACAGTTTTTATTTAGCTAAAAGTGAGTAGGATATATATACATATATTAAATTATATACTTACCTCCGGACTTGATGGAGTGACCTGAAGATGTATTTTGGTAATCGCTATTGGAACTCCTAGCCGAGTGGAACTAGGTGTGCCGAGTTTGGGCTCGTTTTGTTAGTTATGATAAAACTTTAGCTGCGGACTTGATGGAGTAATCTGATGGTGTACTTCGGTAACTAATACTGGAAATCCTGGACTAGTAGATTATTAATATATTTATCTATTAATAATAATTTTCATAATCATCATATAATAATTTTATCTTACTTTGTCAGTTACTTATGTATCAAATTTGGTTTTGTAATATTTTGTGTATATACAGCGATCTTTTTAACATGAGCCGCTGCAAACAGTCGATATAGTTGCCACTCACGACGGCGGCTGAGCGCGGACAGTGGATCCATCGGAATCTTTGTACAATAAATCAAAACAGGCACCAAAAATTAAATAGCCCTTATTGCAATATATTATGATTCATCAGTATTAGCAAACTATGTGAAAAAATATGCATCAGTTTATATTTTTTCTATGACTATTTAAAAGATAAAAAATAAACACAAATTTTTTTATTGAATATATCTGCCTACCTACATTATCTTTAGAAATTTAAAATATGTTGATAATAGACCAAAAAATGTACCGAAACTCGAGCCGATATCGTTAATTTTGTAAAAAATTGCAACGGAAGTTCGTTTTTACAGTATAAAAAACTATTATTTCCAACAAAAGAGTCACTACCATTTGAAGATGAAGAACTAATCTATATATGGTAGTTTTAGTTACATTTGATTTGGTTTACTCTTGTCACAAAATGTACCGAAAAACAGCATAATTTTGCTCGATTTGCAAAAGCGTCCTTGAGATAGATGCCTTTGGGCAGGCTAGATTTGTTGTTCTTAATAAGATGTTTTTTCCATGTTGTCAATGAGACCACTACCGGTTGATTTTTATATGAACGCTGCCCAATGTTATAGATTTTGGCTATCTCTTGACTGTCCAGGTGTATGCCCGTCCCCACTATTATTTCTTTCGAATAGTCTACTAATTCACATTCTGTTTTCTGTTTCTCTTCTATGCCGATTGTTTTTTCTCTTTTTCTTTTCCGTGGATTCTATTTTCCGTTCAAGGTTTGTTATTTTCGTTTTTAAGGTTTTGCTTTCTTCCAAGAGTGTTTTCATTTTTTCGCCGAGTCGAGCTTGCATGACATTTTTGGTGACATTGGCGATTATTGTCAAAGTTTGTTGGTTCAGTGTCGCGTCCAGTTTAGTTAGCAGCAATTACATACTTTGATCCATATTTATTTTGGTAAAATTTACAATGTTTCTACTGACAACACTAGAACTATCAAAATAAAAGTTCTTTCGTTCATTCAATATTGTTAGGTTGGCACTACTTTTGTGACAGTGCCAAATGAACGCGCTTTTTTGTAGGTTTTCTTTATAATAAATGTTCTTGATTTCACTACATACTCTATTTTCCACTCAGATTTCTTCGTAATTTGAAGCTATAGAGGGTTTCTTCAGATATTTTCGCAGTTTTATGGTTAATTAACTAGTTTTAATAGAATTGTGAATTATTTCGACGGAGCTGATTCGTATACATGTTTGCGTCCACAATACCAAAACCGGAATCTGATAACTGGTGATATAAACTACCTATTTTTTTATTACTTTCTACGTGGTAGAGCCACGCTGCAGCTATGTTATGGTTGTAGCACGAATACGTCAGCTCGTCCGGGGAAGGACTACATTCTCACAAAATACCAACGTAAAAAGCGGCATAATGCTGCTGTGTTTCGTATGGTGATTGTTGAGAACCAGAAACCCTTTTTTTGCTGGAAACGAGGCATTTTTCCTTAGTCCTCAGAGGTGACAACGCACCTGCATTTTGATTTTTAATCGAGGATAGATTATGTCTATGATACACATATTTCACTTACCATCAGGTGGACTGTGTGCTCATTTATCAGTATTCTATATTTCCTGATCCTACAAAGCGTTGAGCTGCTATTTTACGCTGATATTCTCTGAGAATGTGCTGCTTCGTTCGAGCCGACCCATTCGTGCTACAACACTACGAGTACTATAACTGCAGCATGGCTCTACCACGTAACGAAATATATCTACAAATATGCTGCTTATGTTGGTATGGTATCGGTTACAAAATTTTAACTCCTTTAAGTAAGTTATGCTTAATGTATCGTAGTATCTGATCTCTGCTGGCACCAGTTAAATCAATAACGTTTTTAAATGATGATTTACAAAGAGCTTAGTTTAAAGATAGAATATACCTGCGGAAACATGCATACCTGAGAAATAAATAATAATTCATTTTTAGTTATTACAAAAGTAATTAAAAAGAATAAATAGAGTATAACCATGGCTTCCCAATGGTGATCATTTTGGACCAACGGGAAACAAAACATTTGACGAAAATTTAGTAGTTAACAAACTAAGTCTTTTGGGTCTAAATCAATATAACGGCGTTGTGAACGCACATGGTAAAATTTTAGACTCAGTCCTGTCAAACTTTACTCAGGTAGTCTCCAGCTGTTGTGACCCTCTTGTTCCCATTGATCTACACCACGGGGCAATCTCATCTTTTTGATTTCATACCACTAATGCCTGCCCCTCGCGCTAGGTTTCTGTACAACAAAAGCATACATCAATCAATGCCGAGCTGCACAAAATCGATTGGGCTAGCGAGTTTCATTCAAGAACGCTAGATGAATGCGTCGATTATTTTACTCAACTTTCCATATTTTGAGAGATAAATTTATTCCATCCAAAACTATTGTTAAACATCAATACCCACGTTGGTACTCTATAGCGTTAATTAAGGTGATTAAGGAACAATATAAATATCATAAAAAAATTAAAATTTACATTAATCGCAGTGATCATGAATCTATGAAATTACTTCGTGTTAGGGCGAAAGCCTTAGAGAGTAAATGTTACACTGACTACCTAGCATCTGTTGAAAACTCTATTACTAAGAACCCTAAAAACTTCTGGAGTTTTACAAAATCGCGCCTGAATTCAAACGTTATGCCTAGTACTCTTTTTTATAATCATGAAGTAGTCAAAACTGGCAACAGTATATGTGAAGCGTTCTCAGAATACTTTAGTTCTAACTTCTTGGATGATACTAGTACACAGCCTACCTCTGATCCTGCCCATATTGACTATCCACCTTCTATTGCGGATATCTCCAAAATCTACGTCAGTGAACAAAATGTCCTCAATCCCTTGCTCAAACTTGACCAATGTAATACTGCAAATAGCAGATATTACCTTTCTACTTAAAATAGCTTCAAGCGAGATCGACTGTCCAGATCTACTTGAGAAGTTAAATATCAAAACTCCAAAAAATGTTAGACGAAAGGTCCCACTATCACTACCCGCAGCAAAAACTAATTATAGGCAGAATAGTTATATGTACCGTGCGAGCAAGAATTTTAATACTGTATCCCAATTGTTTAACTTAGACCTATTCAACACAAGTACCATTTCGACGAGGCGAGTTCTGAGTAAGCCTTTTTTCGACTCCAGCTGATGATCTTTTTATTTCCTTTTTATTATTTTTTAAATTTTTTGCTTTTGTTAATCTGTAATGTTTAATTATTTAATGCACGATGTTACCTAGCTAAGCTTACGGTTGGTGCAACAGTGTCCTATTAGCTGTCGGTAACTCACCGCATGCAATTATTTACATAGTGCCACTATTTGCGAAAACCCATAAATGGTTTCCTATCGCTTAATTGTTTCCTACCTATTCTGTTTTTTGTTAACCGAGGGATTTCCGATTAAATAAATAAATAAATAAATAATATTTCGAGGACATGTAAATTCCGTTTACGCACTGGAGCAGCGACAGACTAATTGCCCTATAACTCTCAGAAACTAAGAGTCCTATGTCCAGTATTGGGGCATATAGATGTTACTTTTAATCTTTATCACACAATTCATAATTTCATTTGTGTATTTGTGCAGAATTCTTCAATAATTCCCATAACGCTACGCGGAGACAATCTCGGAGAACGCCATCGATATCTGAACTCTCTGGTCGAAGACGTCTATCAACAGAAGTTGCCCCTGCAATGTATCCTAGAATTATCTGAAAAGTCTCCTATCGATAAACTCTTTAAAATTGACTTAGCGTCGAGGTATCGGGATGCAAATTATATTATTAGCACTCTTAAGCTAGAGGATATGCTATACGTTAGCAGAGCCCTGAAATGTACTTGGCTTTTAGAGTCGGAATATCAAAGTATCTTTAATCCTGATCACTTAGAATCTGAGCTGTATCCAAACATGATAACTCCAGCAGTTAATAAAATGAAGAACTGGCTGCAAATTAATTTGCGCGACCCTGTAAGATGTCAAAAGTTCTACAAATATTATAAGGATGATTTTGATGTGAGTATGAAATTTCTTCGGCATTGTTCCACTGAATTTATCATGGCTGAATTTTTAAATATTATAGATAAGATGACGCCGAAACATTTGAAGGTTCTTAGCGAATACTGCCCACAAGTAATGAAATTATATTACGATAATTTTAGCAAAACTTCGATAACATTAAAGCGGTATATAAGTGAAGACCGTGATTATTTTAACTGTTGCAAAAGTCTTGTAAACGTGGACATGGATTTATTTCTGGATATCGTTGAAAAATATTATGATCATCACAAATTTGGTTCGCTCAGTCCGCGTATATCTGAACGCATCATGAAGAATCACAAACATAGGTTCACAAACAAAGCTGAACTCTACGCGGGTTGGCTTCTAGATATGAAAACTTTAGCTAAACATCTCACTGATGAAGAGATAAAAGAAGTCGTGCTAAAGTTAGCGCGGGCGGAATACCTTTACAATTTGTTTTCATATAAAAACGTAGAGCCCCTTATTAAAAAGTTGAGCGTTGATGAGAGAGCATCTTTTAAAAAGCAGGTTTTTGTCCAAAATGAGATTGGAACAAAGGTAAGCACATGGCCTTACCCACCGCCCTCTCCGCCCTCTGGTTCGGAGAGTGAAATTTTGAACTCCATTTTCGATGATGTTAAACATAAGCCAGACAAATACAAGTACATTGAACAGCCAAATTTCAAACGTAAAATACAATATCAATGCCTTATGGCTATGAGCTCTGATACAGAATACCGTATGGTAGACGATTGCTTTCCGATAAGGAGGAAAACTTTGCTAGATCAGCTGTTTGATCGCTATAGATTTTACAGCTTCGACCGGACAATGTTTGAACTTCGAAAATTGTTAATGGCGGAGGGATCTGTAAAGAATCGAGAATTCATGATGCTAGTGTTGGTTAGCAAATGTGGGGAGAATATGGACCAAGTTGAGAAATTGATAAATTTGCTTGTTGAACGGCACAAAAACGAACCGAGTAATTTGCGGGCAGCCATTGTGCGGAGCTTAGTTGTGCGGGCGTGCGTATGGCGTCTACCACCGAGGGCTTGGAGTCTCTTGCTTGATTTTGGACGAGAATTAGGGCTTGATGGAGTATCGCCGATACTTTGCCTCGAAGGGATGCACGCTGCAGTGTTAAGAACCTTATTGTCAGGCGAAGAATGTCCACTTTCTTTAAAAGCCGCTTATCTGGATAATTTCTCAATTCTCATTAACTATAAGTTAAATGCACCAGAAAAACGTAAAGTGAGGGAAAATTTACCTGCGTTGCTTTTAACTGTCGCTGTGGCAGATCCAGATTCGGCGTTAAAATGCTTTGGACTTCTTTTAGACGCATTATCAGCGCTAAAATTAAAAGTTAAAGATTGTCCCGGTGCTGTTGATGCATTAGTAGAGGCTGTACATCGAGATCCAACTTCGGCGGAAAGTCTCCTTCATCGACTATACAATGAACGAGTTGCCCGACGCGAATTATTCCGTGAAACCTTTAAGCTGCTTAAAACAAATGCATCATATTTGAATGTTTTGCGTCACGATGCAAAGATGCTAACATCTACAAGTGACTTCATAGAATCGCTTAAAAATCGCTCGTTCAATTATGACGGTTTTCTAAAAAAACTGTCCTTATATTTTGGAGAAGAAAACGGACTAGCTGCAACATACGTAGTAGAGATCACTCAGTTGGCAACCCGTAAGTCGCACGCGTCTTTAGCTCGACCACTTGCTTTGTTACGGATCGATCTACGGCCAATTATTGATGAATGCCTAAAAGAACCAAAGGGAAGTTCTAAAAAACAACTAGGAGCCGCTTTGTTAGCCAATTATCATCATAGTAAGCCTTTAGATGTTGATGTAAACGATTGGCGGACGCTTGGTGTGAAGGCGATTGCAAACAAAATACTGATTTGCAAAGCTGTTGATGTAAAAAAATATTTACAAAAATCGCTAGAGTGGCGACGAACACTAAAATTGGCATTGCGTCTTGCAGGACGCGTCGATAATACATCACAAGTCTACGCAATAGTTGGTACTAAAAGACCGGCTGCCGCAGTGCGTGCTGCAATTATGTATTTAAAAAGAAATAAAAATTGTGACAGAGTAGATGTTGAAGTGTGGAGAGCAGTTGCTCCCGCTTTATGCAATTTGGATCTATCAGTAGAGCAACGTCGCCGTCTTCAACAAAACCTCCTCTGTGACGTAGAAATTATCCCTTCGGATATTGAAGTTGAGTACTGGACCGAATTGTTAAAAGCTATCCAAAAGATATCAAGAAGGAAAGCGATGCCAATTATATGCACGCTGGAGAATATTTTGCCAGACGTTGGTTCAGACGTTATTAAAAACATAATCGAGCAGTTTCTAGAAGAGTTTACACTGGACAACGTGTCAGAAGTTGACTATAGCATAAAAATTTGTCATAGTATGCAAGTGCGTATCATTGCGAAATATCTGCTACTATGTAAAAGCGAATTTGAACGAAATCATAAACTGGAAACTATTTGGGAGCCATTCTATAACCGTCTGATGTCGCTTCTAAAAGAGGACACTCAATCTTCGATCGAGTATTTAGACGACTTTTTGATTGCGTTAAGATATAATAAGGCTTTCTTCGACACTTCACTAGTTTCATGTTTGCCCGTACTGGAAAGAATAGTGACGGACTTGCGGAAGTTTCTGCCAATGGAGGGTTACTTTTATGTCTTCGTCGTGATACATGCCATTATGTTATATTACAAATCAATCCAACAAAGCCTCAAACTACACCCAGATAAGTTTCAAGATGCTAATACAAAGCAGAGCGAGGGAACGGAAATAGTTGGTAAACTATTCGGTCAATACATGGGGCAGGAAGTTCGCGAATTGGTGTCTAAATATTTCAAGTCCGTTGTAACCCTTTACTACAATAATTTAATGATATTGTTACGTGACAATCTTAATTACAGTGAGAGCAGGAATAGATTTTTCATTGAAATTGTGAAAGGTTTGTTGGAAGTTGGCAACACTGAGGCGTTGCGTGTCGCACAGTACATATTGGAAGGTGAGCTGTGTAGTAATTCTGGAAAACAGGAGCTTTTGAAAGCTTTGAAAGAAACACAAGATGAGGAGGTTAAATTCTTTATATACGCCGATATGTGCTGTGGCTTAAGCTTCTGACTTCGCAATCTTACTGTACGCGCTAAACTTACGCGTCCTGAAGTACGTCTATGTCTCTGGGCAAAACGCCATTTTAATATTTTTTTAGAGGTGAGAACGAGGTTGCGATAGAAGATCGGTAACATCCGCTTTTTTTGCGGGTCGCTTACGCTACGTATTGTCGCTTGCGATTGCGAATAGAAAAGAATAATTATTATCACTCATTCAGATAAAACTGTCAAGTGGAAAGGACCAGGAAACCCAGTTTAGGTAAGGTTTTAGTTTAGTTTAGGGTTCCGTACTACAAGAGGAATCTATGGGACCTTATTACTAACCCTCCGCTGTCCGTCCTTCCGCCCGGCCGTCTGTCCATCAGTGGCTGTATCTCATGATCCGTAATAAGTACACAGTTGAAATTTTCACAGAATGTGTATTTTTATGCTCCCGCTATAACAACAAGTAATAAAAATAAATTAAAAATTAAAGGGGGCTAGTATCGTATTTTACGATGGTACGGAACCCTTCATACGGGAGTCCGACTCGCACTTGGCAATTTTTTATTTAATAATAATGAATTTTTTAAAGGATTTAGCCTGCGAGAGAATGATATAGAATACAGTATACAGTGTTTCCTCTTACCTATAATACCTATAATGTTTAAATTAATTTTTAAACTTGTTTACAATAATATAATAATTAACCTACCGTACTCCTGATTTTGTCATCTCATTCGGAGGAGTTTAGTTTTCTAAAAGTTTCACTTCTAACTTTGTGAACTGCACTATTTTTTTAAGTTATGATATAGTCTTTTAATTCTGTTTTGGAGTATTACATATTTATTTGTAGTATTATATAATGTGTGACAAAGTTAAGTATAATAGTGAAATTACCCCATGGTTTAGTCAATATATCTGTAAAATGTAAGGAATGATTTTGCACAGGTTAAAACGTCTAAAGCAGAAGTCAAACAAGAAAAGTAAATTATGACGTTATAAACGTCAACGTTTTGTAAAATATTTTGTTTTATTAATTCTAAAACAGTAACTTCGCTCCTTCTCATGGTGATACCTGCACCTGCAGAAGTAGCGGTGCAAACTTCACTCGAGCGCATTTAAGTTTTGCGCTCACTATATTATTATTTAAATATTGATTTTTAATAAGTATTTATTAAAAGTATAATTTATATTTACGATTGTTGGGTGAAACTTCAGCTTCATTTTTGTAATATGGATACACACTTGTGCTAGTAGCTACTTGTACACGTAAGTACATATTACTTCAATGGCTAGTTTCACAATATTTATGTTTAACCGAACGGTTTCCTATCCCTGATGTATATGAAACCGCTTGGTTCTTATACTTAGTAAACTAATAATTTAAATATATATTGTGAAACTACAATTGGTATGTATTCAAATCACAAATTTATTACTTTTTTGCCTAGAGGTGAAATTGTAGTTGTAACGACAGAAAACTAATAAAATATTTGTAATGTTAAAAATGATGAAGTAGATGAGGTTGGTACCTGCCCCGGTACCCAATGAGCATAGAATTTCCTTGTTCACCACGCTTGGCAGGAGGATTGGCAACTGAAGCAACAGGCGTCGTGTAGCTTGACACAGCTTCCAATAGCCGATAGAAATAGTTAAAACGCCATCTACACCAAACTATGAGATATTTTTTTATTTTATAGAATAAGGTTGACAAATGAGCAAAAATGTGAAAATTTCTAGCCTGTACGAAAGCTAAAGAATTTTATTATGTTGTGTAAGACATTTTTATTAACCCTTTCACCGCCGCGCTTTAGTTGACGTGAAGTGTCTGCAGCGTCAAGAACTTTTATTTAATATCTTGCATAGTGTTGGAACAACCGTTTATCGATAAATAAAACAAAGTTTTAAAAATTGTAGAATATTATTTATTTTAAACAACATGACATTATTCTTATTAGGTATTATCACTCGCTTTATTCAGTCTTAATTTTCATTAATCACATTGCACTTAATCAGCGTCTAATCAATATTTAGGAGATGGGCATGGACTTTGATCTAACATAGCTCCTTCCCGGGCGTGACATATCAAATTTATTATGTCCATTTACAATTGCGATCGAATCTCGTATGGGACTGACTGAATTCCAAATGCAATGAATGTATCAGAATGCTCATTTCGAGCATCTTCTGGTCTTTGATTAAAGAATCTTGAAGTGTGCAAACTTATATAGGCCGTGTGCCGTGTGTGCAGTCTCTAAGTAATCTTCCGATTTCACATAGCATATGTAATGATATTCGGTCTGCGTTAATCTATCAACGGAAATTTTTCTTTTTCGGACGAATAGATGGCGATAACGGCGGCGATTCATCACTTTGTGACATGATGTACGTCTACAAAAATTTTACAGCTATTTTTTGTCTAGCATTATCAATAATTTCCAGCACTAGAAATGCAAATAAGTAAAGTACACGCGTGTTATCACGGTAATGCGCCACAGTAATTGACAATTTATTGAAACGTCCCTTCCTTGACATTAAGCCGCACGTGAAATCACGGTGCTGGCGTTCTCAACTCGAATGCACTAGTGACGTATCGGGATAATTCAATTTTACATTTGGGTTGTTGAGTACAAAGCCGTGGTAGCTCAGATGGTTAACGCTCGCTGTAAATATAACAGAACGCGAGTAACCCAGGCACCAATGAAATTGTTAATTGCAATTTTAAGCGCCGATTTACCACGTGCTCGACGGTGAAGGGAAACATCGTGAGGAAACCTGCATGTCTGAGGAATAAGAAAAATAAAATATTTCGAAGACGTGTGAAGTTCGCGAACATGCATTGGGGCAGCGCGGCGGACACTTACTTGCCCTAAAACCCTCTCAAAAATGAGGGGAGGCCTATACCCAACATGGGACGTATATAGGCTGTAACTTTATTTGGGTTGTTTGGTCTATAAATTAATATTTTTCATAAACTTATTTCTTATAGCAAAAATCATTTAAATATTATATGAAATTAAAATTTTGTGAATGTTTAATTCAGTTAATTAAAAAAGTACATGATGATGACTTGACTATCATTTTAATTCGAAACAATGGATAAAACTTTTACAGTAGCGAAGCAATATCACGGGGATGGCGAGGCAACAATGTGTTTAGTGTCATCTTTCACTTAGTAACACTATATATTTCTGTAAATTTTTTGACATTATTATCTACAACTGTCCACAATTATTTAAATATATTAAATTTAATAGCAAAATCGAATTATCCTTGCAGTGTTTCTAGTAACATGAGCATATCGGAATATTACGTGAGTGGCGTTGACGTTGACGGTATTCATCTTAAGATTCGTAATATTACGGCGATGGCGGTGAAAGGGTTAAATAACACGTTGACAAATACTCAGCTTATTATAAGCGTTAAAATTATTGTATTTTTTAATTTCCATTCTACTGGAATGGAAATTCTAATGGAAATTAAGCTTAAGTTTGAAATATGTATTTATATCTTTATAACTGGGTTTTCTTACAGATGACTACTGATACTTATAGATGTTTTATAAATGGCTTTCAATTATTAAGTTTAACAATAACCATTGTTTTATATAGTTTGTATACCTAAACTTTGCTTCTTGTAAGTTTGTAAAAATTATTAACGGCGTTTAACAAGTTCTGATTGTATGAAAATAAAAATCTAACAACTGTTTGTAACCTTTTATTTTACTAAAAGTACAACTTCGATTTAGCTGTTATATCAAATAATAATGTCCTCCAGACCGGTCTACCTCAACGGAGGCTAGCCATCGGCGCAGGACAGGATTATAGTGCCCAAGTGTATGCTCAAGCACAGGTGCACTCTCTATTCCCTCACTCTCATAATCCGATGGGACGGTAAACCGACACGATCGGAGAGAGATCAGGCGCAGGACCAACGGCTTTACGTGCTTTCCGAGGCACGAGGGTGAGACACATAAAACTTTCATCAGCTACATAAATAAAAGAAAATTTCATCAAATCAACTTCGCATAATAAATCTAATATCTCAACTCTGGCGCATCCTTAGCGCGTCATCGATTATCAGTTCATTAGGCGCCGTGGTCAAGGATAGACGACACCCTGATGACGTCATAAACGAATAACGGAAAAGGTAGTGCAGTGCATCATGAACGATTCCTCAGAACTCATTCGCATTTGGAAAGCGTCGATGATGATGATTTTTTTATTTTAATAATATAAAATTACAAATAATAGATGTTATTATATATATTTTTTTCTTAAGGTATGAAGAGCAATTTTACATTTTGTGTTGTGCAATTTTCTTTCTCAATCTAGGGTATTGACTGAAACCCCTATTATATTTGCTGATGACGTTTCCGTTCTTATTCCGCATACAAAAGACCAGAATTTAAATAATAAATTGAATCAAGTATTGAACCAGGTTACAAATTGGCTGGCACATCACAACCTAAAGATTAATTTTAATAAAACCAAAATTATGCAATTCCGACCAGTTCAAAAATCACTAAATATCGCTTTTACTTGTAATAATATACCTATAGGAACTGTTGACAAATTCAACTTGTTAGGCCTGGAAATCGACTGCCACATAAACTGGAAAGCCCATATAAATAAAGTAAAAAAATAGGCTATCAAAATTCACTTACGTATTACGAGAAATAAAGAAAACCACAGATGTCCCCAGCGCTCTGTCAGCATATTACGCATACACATCTTCGTGGCTGTCATACGGTGTCATGTTGTGGGGAAATAGTAAAGATGCACAGCAATTATTTATAATGCAAAAAAAAAATATAAGAATCTTGACAAACACAAAAATTCCAGAAAGTTGTAAGCCCCACTTCAAAAAGTTTAAAATTTTGACTTTGACGTCTACTTATATTTGGGAAACATGCAAATTTGAAAAAAAAACACCCAGAACTATTTACCAAATTAGGTGAAACAAATTACAAATACTCAATTAGACCAAATAAAAATAGGTTACTGTAATAGTGGTGGTATGCAGTCC